AGCAGCTGTAGGGTAGCAATAGTTAAGACATTTCCAGTTACTCTCAACTGGTATGGCACCTTCAAAATACTTTTAAAAGTTTGCAATCCTTTCTTAGAAGGAGCTACTCTCTGCCTTTTGGCTTAAAGCATATGATGCTCGGAAAACAGTAAGTTCATATTTGTAATGTCACTGCTACTGTGTGTGGGGTCTAAAAGTTGTCGAGAGTTTCTTTGTGCTTAGAAGTTTACTGACTGGTGTGCGTGCAGAGCTTCCTTTCTCTTCTCAGAGGTTCCAGCAGTGGACAGGGAATATTTCAGCTTCCAATTTTCCAAGGGGACAACTCTGCTTGAGATTGCAGGCAAGTGCCACAACCAGGCTTCCAACACATGCACACCAAAGCCTGGAGTCTGTCCAGCGTCATGCTGTCTTCCTCCCCTGGCTACCCTAAGTTGTGTGTTGGGTTATCCACTTCATGAATTATTGCTGCATTGTACTCTTTCATTTCAGGAATGTTTGACACCTAATATGTCTCAGTCTTCGCAGCTAAATGGCTTGGTGTACGTGGAAGAAGTGTGAGCACTTTAGCATCAGCAATACGTGTATCCTGCTGTAGAAAACTGTATTCATTATGTTTAAAAAATGATTACCAGATTCTTATATGCGCAGTTATCTTTATGCTGATTCCTCCAAGGTGGGCGGAACAAAGGAATCTGTGCAGTGGGCTTCCCAGCGCAGTGCGCATGACTGTGCACCGTGAATGCCTCTGCGCTGGCACCTCCTGCACAGGCTTCCTTGCGGGCTGTGCTAGTAATGGCAGCGTCCACAGTGCAGGACACGGGTTGCCAGCCCTGTTATAATGAACTATGCCTGATGGGGTTCTGGCCCCCATCAGGGCTGCTTCGCTATAACGCAGTTTGTAAAAAAAGGTCTCTCTTCAGACACATTGTGGTAGACTTGTTTTAAGGGTTTTATAAATCCTTGGGTCCAGATTAGAGGAGCACTGATGTAGTTGCCTCTGAAGCTGAAGTTTCTTCCTAGAGATGTGTGCTTTCCCATAATTCATCCGGATCTTGATTTTGTAAGTAGTGTATGATTTGGCATTTCAGTAGCTTCTTGCCTCACTTAGTAGATCATCATGATGAAGGCAGTGGCCTTACCTGCAGCAGCAGGAGCCCTAGCGGGGGATATATAACTGGTCACCTGAGCCCGAAGGACCACTCATCCCCAGTTCTCTGGCCAGTTTACATCAGCCTGGATGTTTCACCAGGTATATTTAGATATGATTAGAAAATTTCCTCTAGTTCTGTCTAACCATTCTGTCATCACCTCCAACTTCCACTCCCCAAAGTAATGTAGCATATGAATTAGTGGAAAACTAAGAAATATTTTAATGGTAATTGTCCTGTGGTTGAAGGAGGGGAGGGATCTTTCAAAATCTTACAGAAATCATATTGACACTAAGTTTTGCTTTCAAGTAAGGTGTGTGGAAAACATTCCAGTACTGATACTTTACTTGGTGTTTATTTGTTTATGTTTCCTGCTTCACCAAACCTTAGGTAGAGAAGGTAGTCATTTGAATCCTGACTTCTGAGAAACATAGTAAAATATGTTTCTGGCACCGGACCTTGGAATGGTAGGGGTGTTTAACCCAGAAATGGACAAGTCTATCCCACTTTCAGATTATGGATTTTTTAAAATGGAAAGCTGTGTTGGTGGAGGGCTGCTGAGAAGGGAACTTTGAGGATGGTGGTAGCCCTGTTTTGGTGCTGTCTTAGTAATGTAACTGGAAAAACCTGTCTCAGTGTTCTGTAGATGGCCCGGGGGAATGTATTCTCCCACTAATACACCTCTAAAATAAGTCAAAGATGAGACACTAAAACGAATCACCCACTTAATAAGGTGGGCTCTGCTTCAGAAGCCAAGAGTGGTTGGTATCCATTTGTGTGGGAGCCTTCCTCAAGAAAGGAGGGCACTGCTACAGAGCAAGCTTACATTTGCAGGTTTGCTTTTCTGAGGTTCTTTTGAAAAAATGAATCTTTAATATTTTAAAATCTTTAAATTTTTTGAGATGAGCCCATCAGCTGATTAATTAGCACAAAGTATGATGGTAGAATTATGTCTTTGTATCCTTTCTTGAATTAGTTTTGTGACTTCTAAATAATTTGGTGGTGGAACTATGAAAAGTCATAGAAAAGCTCTGTATTAGAGTTGAGAAAACTAATGTTTAGATTTGATTGTCTAGGTGCTATAGCTAGAGGATTTTATAGTCAGTTGTTCGCTAAGTCAACCTGAGTCTTTCTATGTAAAAGTAGGCCACTGATGCACTAATTCTGCAGGCAGGCACAGCAGCTCTAAGCCCTGTGGCTCTGGCCAGGCAACTGTGATCTGACTTGCTTTCAGTTCTTCACCCTCGCGTGTTTCCCTGGGTGGGCAGGCTATCTTGGTCCTTCCCTCCCCTGACATGTCATGGTTCTGACCTTCATGGTGGGTGTTCCAGCCCCTTCACCATGTGCCCTTGGAGAAGCTTATTATCTCTCTCCAGATTTAGCCAGTTGGAGCTTATAATTACATAAAATTATATACATATGTTGTTGGAGGTTAGTGCCATAGTAAGAGACAGTCATCAGAAAGTCCATATGTGCATTTAGAGTTCTATACATTTTTTGTTCTTTTTCTCAGTAGGGTTGGAATTATGAAAATAAAATACATTTAAAAATATTGTTCCTAGATGCTTTTAAAGATTGCTCATTCATTGTAGGTTTTGGTGTGAACTCACCTAATATAGAGCAGAGGGTGCTTTGCAGGCCAGAAGAGTCAGGCAGGTGTCCACGTGGCCCCATAGCTCAGGAACTCCCAAAGCTGGTGCTTTATATTTTTTATTCAATCCCTCACGTCATCTGAGAACTCAATAATGGAACCACCTTGCACAGACTGCTTCCTGAGTCATGCAGCACACACACCAAGAGCATGCTTCATACCTGTTTCATAAAATGTTTTGCTTTTTAAAGAAATACAATTTCTGAACCACTAGTAGAGATGCCATTATTCTTTTTAAAAACCATAAGAACAAAAGGAAAGGAGGATATACGGTCTCCTGGGCAACGTTTGTTCCATCAGATACTCAGCTTGTTGTCCGTTTGGCTTCCCCCACACGTGTTTGGACAGCACTGTAGTTGTAGAAATGCCAACTTGAGATCCATAATTCCTAATGTTCATTGCCCAGCCTGAACTGCCTTCTCTTCTTGCATGGGCACATACACATGGGAGACTATTTGGGGATATTTACTCGTAGTAAAAAATCATGCTGATTTTCTGTTTTAAAAACATTCTGGTAGAACACATGTATTTGTATCTTTTACATAAATACAGTTGATGATTGCCAATTTTTTAAAAAATGGTAACTTTTAGGATTGTTCATATTTAATATTACAGCATCAGGCACTATCTTTTATCTTTAACTCCCAAATGAAAACTCATATTGCCTTCAGGTGCTGTTCCAGATGTGGAGAATACCGTGCACTCCACTTTTGCATTGTACAGATTACAGTGAGCCTGCCTCAGGCCATAAATCATCTTCACCACAGACTGCACTTTGTAAGAGCAGCGCAAACACCCTGGCTTGATAGCATGACTAGTTTTGGAGTATGTTATTGTCTAGCATGCTTGTGTCATCCCTAGCAGGGAGGGCTCTTGGCTATTATTAAGGCCATAATGAATATGGGAAACTACAGCTGTTGCAGACAGATTAGATTATTTGTTCAGGGTCATATGGTTGGTATTGACAGAGATAGGGTTGCATCTGGGTCATCTCTATCGACTGGGTGAATCCACTAAGCTAGACGAAAAACTCTTGCAAGATGAGTACAGTAGTCATTAGGGTTTTAAAGGTTTCTGCCCTACTTTTTAAAAATCCTTTATTTTTAGAATAGTTTTAGATACTGCAGAAAAGTCACAAGGGCAGTATGGAGCTTCCATGTACTCTGCATTCCCCTGATGTTAACATCATGTAGTATGGTACAGGTGTCCCAGCTGACGAGCCAATTATAATACAGTATTGTGAGCTGAAGTCCCTGTGTTAGTCATGCTGTCCTCTTTTAATATTCTGATATTCTTTTAGCTGTCATATCTTTGGGGTTCTTCGTGGCTTTGTCAGTTTTAAGGAAAACTGAGCAGGCATCTTATGAATGTTGCTTAATTGGGACTTTTCTCATGATTTCACTGGGATTATGGTTTGAGGAAGAAAACTGTAGAAGTTGTTTCTGTAATTTCACTCTTAGCACGTTGTGTCAGGAGCACTTCCTGTCTGTGTGGCTTGTGCCTGTGGGTACTGACTGTGGCCGACCAGGGAGATGCTGTCAGTCAGCTCACTGTTAGTCTTCCTCCCCCTTTCTGCTTTCTGTGTGGCATTCTATGGAAGGAAGTTACTGTGCAGCTCACTCTCTCTTGTGTTAAGTATATGTATTATTTGAATTCTACACAGAAGACTTGGCTACCTCCTTCATCAATATAGAAAAATCATATTCTACCATTCTTATATCTGCCAGATATTATATAATGTGTGAAATTGGGTCATGATGGAGTCACAGAAAGGATAGAAAATTATTTTCTGACTCCATCAAAGTGGTTAAGAAAAGAGTTGTTAGAGGAAGAGACCCAGGTGATGAATTGCCCTCAGAGACTCAGCAATGTTTGTTGCAAAGTGTGGGAGGGAGGGTAGTGGGTAAAAAACTACAAATATGAACTGTAATATAGGGAATACAATCATAAAAAAGAACAATAAAACTTATGAATTGGAAAAGACTGTTATTGAGCTTCTCTATGTTTGTAATGTCTCCAGGACATGAAACCACCTCCCCAACCTCTTAGACATCCACCTCATAATATAATATGTGTCATCTTATTCCAAGTCAAGGAAGGGTGCTCCTAATGTTTATTTTTTAATTATTTTTAACTCAAATTGGGAGGGAGATTTGGACTATTCTGGCTTGTTTGGTGAGTTTTCCCTTCTCTTTCTGCAGAACTCTATCCGGCATAACCTGTCACTGCATAGTCGATTCATGAGGGTCCAGAACGAGGGCACTGGCAAGAGCTCGTGGTGGATCATCAATCCTGATGGGGGCAAGAGTGGCAAGGCCCCGCGGCGGCGGGCCGTCTCCATGGACAACAGCAACAAGTACACCAAGAGCCGAGGCCGAGCGGCCAAGAAGAAGGCAGCTTTGCAGACTGCCCCGGAGTCTGCAGATGACAGCCCTTCCCAGCTCTCTAAGTGGCCTGGCAGCCCCACCTCACGCAGCAGCGATGAGCTAGATGCATGGACAGACTTCCGTTCACGCACCAATTCCAATGCCAGCACGGTGAGCGGCCGCCTGTCACCTATCTTGGCAAGCACAGAGCTGGATGATGTCCAGGACGATGAAGCACCACTCTCCCCCATGCTCTACAGCAGCTCAGCCAGCTTGTCACCCTCTGTAAGCAAGCCATGCACCGTGGAGCTGCCACGGCTCACTGACATGGCGGGCACCATGAATCTGAATGACGGGCTAGCTGACAACCTCATGGATGACCTACTGGATAACATCACCCTTCAGTCATCCCAGCCCTCACCCACTGGGGGGCTCATGCAGCGCAGCTCTAGCTTCCCCTATACCACAAAGGGGTCTGGCCTAGGCTCTCCAACCAACTCCTTTAACAGCACAGTGTTTGGACCCTCGTCGCTGAACTCCTTGCGCCAGTCTCCCATGCAGACCATCCAAGAGAACAAGCCAGCCACCTTTTCTTCCATGTCACACTATGGCAACCAGACACTCCAAGACCTGCTCACTTCTGACTCGCTCAGCCACAGCGACGTCATGATGACCCAGTCAGATCCCTTGATGTCCCAGGCCAGCACTGCTGTGTCTGCCCAGAACTCCCGCCGGAATGTGATGCTTCGCAGTGACCCAATGATGTCCTTTGCTGCCCAGCCTAACCAGGGGAGTTTGGTCAATCAGAACTTGCTCCACCACCAGCACCAAACCCAGGGCGCTCTAGGTGGCAGCCGTGCCTTGTCGAATTCTGTCAGCAACATGGGCTTGAGTGACTCCAGCAGCCTCGGGTCAGCCAAACACCAGCAGCAGTCTCCTGTCAGCCAGTCTATGCAAACCCTCTCAGACTCTCTCTCAGGCTCTTCCTTGTACTCAGCTAGTGCAAACCTTCCTGTCATGGGCCATGAGAAGTTCCCCAGCGACTTGGACCTGGACATGTTCAATGGGAGCTTGGAATGTGACATGGAATCCATTATCCGAAGTGAACTCATGGATGCAGATGGGTTGGATTTTAACTTTGATTCCCTCATCTCCACACAGAATGTTGTTGGTTTGAACGTGGGGAACTTCACAGGTGCTAAGCAGGCCTCATCTCAGAGCTGGGTGCCAGGCTGAAGAATCACTGAGGAAAGGGGAAGTGGGCAAAGCAGGTCAGTGCCCAGCACTATGGCATCACACGGTGGGGTGATGGGAGCCTATGTCCTGCTTACTTTGAATTTCACGTGAAGATCTATGGAGCAGCAATGCACTATACTATGGGTCCCAGCCAGTCCATCGCGAAGGTTTACCTGCAGCCAGCTAGGGCTCCCAGGTGTTCCTCCCCGTAGTTTGCTGACAGCTCAGAGATTCTGCTACCAGTGAAAAGAGCACACACATGGGTGTGCATGCACACACACACACACACACACACACACGGGCTCTCGTTCTATTTTGTGTCTGTCATCCTTGCCAAGCCCTGACATAGCTTACCCTGCATAATGGAGGGCGATGAGAGTAAAAGGGAAAGGTAGAAGGGGAAGTTTAGGCCCCACGTCAAGGTGAAGGGTATAAGCCGAAGAGCTTTCTTAGGACTAGGATCCAACACCACCTTTGTCAATCTGGTGTTGTGGTTTCATCTTTTTTTTTCCAGTGAAGTAATAATTTGCAGTGACTTTGATTTAATTGCAGAATGTATATTTCTGAACTCCTTCATATATGAATACTTTCACCAGAAGCAAGATGTGATTCTTCATCCTTATTAGTTAGCATAATACTACGCATCTTTGTTAGTACTCAAAATGTAAGCATTTACGAAAACAAAATAATTAAATTACAAACACAAGTTTTTACACGAGGAAACACATATATGTGCATCTCCTTGTTTCTCAGCTGATAAATGAGATGATGTCAGAGTCACCTGGGTTGTGAATGGTGACAGAATTTTTAAGGTGGTGGTATTTTAATATTATTGTGAACAGGAAGAGCAAGTAGTGTGTTAAGACAAGCATTTGATTGGAATCAGGAGTTGAGGACTCCGTCCCATGTCTTTTCCTATCTGGCTGCCTTTGTGAATGTGTCACTGAGCCTCAGTTTCCATTGTATGCTGCCCTTGTAGAGTTATTGCAAGACTTAAATGCATGATTGTATGTGAAAATGCTTTGTAAAATGCAGCAGGTTGAAATATACTGAGTACAGTTAGGTAAATTCATGGAACCATGAGCAAGCAGAGAGCCCAGAGAGCTTAAGTAGTTTTCTAAGGTCACATGGCTGGCCCCCAAGTCCATGTTGCTTAAATGGCTTAAACCATAGTAGCGCTTCCTCGTTTTTTCCTAGGTCATGAAAAAGAGGATGTGCTCTGGACAGAGATAGAGTAGCAGATAATAGATTTGCCATGGAGCTGTTATTCTCAAGAAATGGAGGGAGCACTGGGGGCTTCTGCCACAGGTTTGCACCCACACATGCACGCATGTTAAAGGGTCCTGTTCTGTGCCCCAGCTCCTTGGTTTTCTTTTCCCCTGTTTAAAGTCATCTCTCCAAGTTGCTTCTCCCTTTCTTTGAATTGTGTGGAAGAGAAAAAGAATTCAAAGCCATAAAAAACCCAGCCTTGTTTAACCCTGCCATAGTGAAGGAATTACAAGGGTCCCCCGTGGTGAGCTCACTGGAGCCTGTGGGCAGCTGTAGAAAGAAGAATGTCAAGAGCCTTGTGAGGCTGGAGCCTCTCAGCTTGCCAGGCATAAGCAGGCCCCTAATGGGACTCGCACATCTGTTCTCATCATTTAATAGCCCTCGAGCTGGTGAAAGAATGTAATGGAAGCTAAAGAGGATGGCAGTACTTCTATGCCAGCCACTTGGTATCGTACCAGAACTTGGGCTGGTAGAGATTGGACTTTAGAAATTTAGGTATTTGATTTTTGGAAAAATGAATGATTTGTCGTCTTTTAAGAGGAGTACATTTGTGGGTTATAAAGACTCACATTTTAATTTGGCCTTAGAAGGAAGCCACTTCCTAGTTTCCTGGAAAGAATGCATTCAGAGAAAATGTACCATTGATTTCTGTGACTTTTCAATTGTAAATTCTTTTTAATTGAGTACATGTCTATATTTATGAAACGTTACACAAAAATCCTTTAAGGGAGATTTAAATACGTAGGTTTAAAATTTTTATTTGATGACTGAGTTTTGATAATGAGAAGTTAATACTCTGAGGATAGTTCATTTCATTATTATCTCTAATAGAACTTGGGATCATTCAGTCATGTCTTCCTCAGAACATTTTGAGGTGTTACCTTCAGCTAAAAATGAAAAGTTATCAAATTTTCCCAGAAAATAAACTAGCTCAGTATGACCACAAAGCAAGAAAAGCAGCATCCCAAGGACAGTGGGGGCAGGAGTAAGGGATAGGAGGAAATCTGGCTTCTGGGTATAGGATTTCCATTTTGCTTTGGAAGGATTGCTGCTCGCAGCAATCAGGAGCACTTGTAGCCTGGGCGTTCCCCGCCCCCCCAGTGCTGGGGGTGGGACCTTGTACATGCTAGGCCAACTCACTACCCGTGAGCTCTATGCCCAGACTCATCTTTTACTTTTAATCGTAACTTGTGGCTTTCATTTTATTGGAGATGATCTTCAATTGAGAAAATAGGCCTGGGGATAGAACTTCAGACATAACTTCTCTGAAATTAAGTGCCCCTGCTTCCCAAGTAGTATTCTTAGCAACTTTCTTTTTTATTATTTTTTATTAGTATTTCTTCAGGCTGGCTTCCTTGTTTGATCACAGAAGGTCACATGGCCCTAGCGGAAACCTCCTAGTAGCATTCATAGAGCAGCTCTGACCAGTTGACATCTTGCTGGGGAAGTATAGTAAGATGCTTCTCTGAATGATTGGGAGTTTCACATATGTTTTTTACTTTAGACCATGTATAAAGTCCTTTGACCTGTGAGTCCGTCTCTGGAAGAAACACATAGCCACGCATTTCCGTGAGTGCCAGTTACTGAGGCGTACAGAGCACTGTGTTCCTTAGTTGCTCAGAAGCTTGGGGTGTGCATACTTACTAGTGGCAGAGTGGCTGAGCCTGAGCTTCCAGTAAATCCTCTGAGCTTCAGTCTTACTCTAGCTTTGAGATCCAAAGATATCTAAATTCACAGGCCCTTTTCATTGGTCTCCATTGTGGCATTTGGGGACCTTAATAGAAGAAAGTCTAGAATTTAGTTTTGTGTTTAACACTCCTCCCTCCCCCACTGGCTTGAACCATCAGTGATACATGTATGACTCATTGGGCAACGTAAGACAGTCCCATTGGGTGATGGAAGCTGCCTGAGGGGGACAGTCATGCGTGTACAGTCCCATCATGAACATGCTATGCTACTTTATGATAAGAATTGGGAGACAACCATAAGAGAAGCCAGGTAGAAAAGGGAAGGATATTTCTCTTCCTGTTTCTGCCTCTGGCTGCATAATTCACAAGTCTCTAAGAATATCAGTTCTCACATCTGTGGGAGGATAAAGTCATAGTATTAAATGTGTAGAATATATACAATTTTAAATTTGAAGTCAACATTCTCTTTTATGAAGTGGCCTAATGAGGGGCTATGGGATGATACAGAACTATTTAAATAGTAGTGTGCTGTTGTGGAAACTACATAGAATTTCTGTGTAGCTGCTTCCTGACAGGTAAGTCCATGCTGCCTGTTCAATGTCTGAATGTTGTGACTCTGTCCTGTCTTTAAACTGTATTTTGGGGGATAGGACCAATTTTACCAAATACAGGTCATATTGACTATGTGGTGTTTTTCTTGAAGTAGGTATTTCTGTTTTAGAGAGTGCAATGCATAGTACATATCAACCTGTTGTGTACTGCATGAAGAATAGACTGTTTGAACTGTGATGTAGCCTGTGGTTACGAGATGCTGGCCTGAGGAAATCTGACTGCTGAGGTCTTCATTCTTTCTTTTCAAAAAGCCTAAAGTCTAATTTCTCATTCTTGGAGAGAATGACTCTCTGGGTCTTTTAAATATTGATGACATTAAAGGAAATTGGCACAGCCGTGAAAAGAGCTTTCCTCCCGGAGACCAGTACAGCCCCTGTGTATGTTCTTCCCTGGGAAGCAGTGGCATCCAGCGCTGCCTCTGCTCTTCCTGGGCTTGTTGGTTTCATCTTTGCCTGTGCTCACCTCTGGCCAGCTGGGAAGCTTGGGGTCAGAGCTTTTGTGACTCCCATTTCAAGCAAGTTCATCTGTAAGTGGCTTTGGGGGAGGTCTCCTTTGGCCACAGATTGCATGAAACAAAAATGTAAAAAAAATCCCACCAATATCACTACTTACAATTTTTGTGAACTTTAAGCTCTTGTGAAGTGCTTCTTTTTAGCACACTCATGGTGCCGAACAGTCAGCTTCTTATAAGTAACATTTTCTGTCAGTGGAAGCCTCCCGGGATGGCCTCCGCTTCTCCCAGGCATACCCTTCCACATCAAATGGGAGAGAAGAGCTTGCTGGGAGCCCCTTCCTGTGCTGCCGCCATGACAGAGGAGCTGACCTGCCAGCTGGCCTCCACAGCCCGAGCCAGGCGGGAGGATGCTTGCAGCCTCTCTTTCTTCCCTCCCTTGGCCACAGATGGTGGATTTCATTCCTAGGTGGGGATTCTGTACCTTGCGAGAGACACCACCCACTTCTCCCTGGTTTTGCTGATGTGTGTGTTTGATTTCAAAGTGTTGCTTTACCCTGTCCTGCAGATTGTCTTGAAATTTAAAGTTTCAGAAACTACATGAACTTAAAATTTATTTCATGACTAGAGACGCTTCAGATATTTAGAGGTTCCATAGGTCAATAGCTTTGAGTGTTTCACAAAATACTTAATCCTCAAGCTCATCATGAATATAAGTAAAATGTGGATCAAGTACGTTTGGGAAATGTTAAAGAGAAATGTAGAAATTTGTATATATTTCCATCAGGACTTCCTGAATCCTTACAGATTAATAGGCTTTGTGAACTTCTGAGGGCAGCATGTGACTTACAGTGTTTCCTGAATTGGATGCCTTGAATAAATGTTTTTTTCCTCAAGAAACCATAACACAAGTGTGTTAAGGAGCACTCTTAAGAAATGCTGCTGTAGAGTTGTTGAAGGGAGTTGGCTTCCTCTGAAGACTTGGCTTCCTTCTCCCATTCCTCCTGATTGGCCT